TTTAGTCGCGCTCGGCATTTTCGTGTTTCCGGGGTCCAGTGAGAGACGGATCATGCACATCCGTTCTCATAGGACTAAGACGCAAAGCTCAGCAGCGAATGGTGTTACAAAATGCGCAATAAGTTGGAAAGTCGCTGGGCTCTGCATTCGCACGTGATAAGATGCAGACATTAAATTTGACTCAAGAAATAATCTGATAATAATATTATTAGTAGGATGCTTAAAATTATCTAATTTCTATTTTGCGCATGACCAATAGTTGATAATGTAATCACATTCGACGGAATAAGGCGACGAAATAGAGGGGGGGGGGGACAAGGAAGAAAGAGAGCATTAGAGGAAAAGGAAATAAAAGAGAAAAGAACAAATTGAAAAGAGGAAGGAAAGGGGAGGGGAATGCGAAAAAAAGACGTGCTAAAGTCCTCGGGACGTAACATAATAAAAGAAACTTTAATTTAAAACATAAAAAAAATACTTTTGATATTAGAAAATAATTTATTTAAATTTATAAAATGACTTACTTGTATTTTATTTATTTTAAAACAAGCAAATATCTATTTAAATACAGTTTTTACATTTAAAAAAACTAATTTTCTTCTTGTAAAGAAACCATTTGCTTACTCTTATATATAGATATTTTAAATCAAAGGAATCATTTTTTTTCTATCTAGAAATTCATGATTTTACAGCTTATTTTGAAAATTTCAAAAAAATATTACTTTATATTTATTACATATTTTCTAAAATCTAACAAATATATTTTTTTAAGTTAAGAAATTATATTTAACAAAATATATTTCTTTGATTTAAAGAATTTTTTTTTAGTGTATATTACCAATTTAGTGTACATTACCAATTTAAATTTTGATTTTCTTATTTCTTCATTAATTTAATAATTATAACTAATTAAATTAATTTTCTTCATGTATAATATTTATAGAAATATTTACAAAATATTACTACAAATATTAACTTTTTGTTTACAATAAATATTGTATTAAATATTTAGATATTTAGTCTATATTTTAATAATATTTTGAATAAAGATTTTTATACTTTCTCCTCTCTCTCTTTATGTATATATAAAAAAATATTTATAAAATACTTATATAATATTTAAAAAAAATAATTCAATATAAATATTTATAAATATTTATCATTAATATTGGGTGCTGTCTGGGTTAATACTTTAAATCTTGACAGTACTTTGCGTAAATATTTCATCACTGAACGAAGTATTACATATCAATATTTAAGTATTGAAATTAATCATAAGGTAATATTTGTAACATTAAATATTAAAATATTTGAGTACTAAAAGCTGTATTTGAATCACAGAATATTACTAAATATTATACTTTTAATACTGAAAATAAGTGATTAATTAATGATTCTCAGTATGATATTTCTGTAAGGGATTAATCCAAACAAAAAAATAAAAAATCCAAGAAAATCCAAATTAAACAAATCGAATTACTAAATTTTGAAAAAATACTACTTAAAACAATAGTGTTGTTTCATCAAATGACATGGTTTCTTTGAACGAAATTAAAATTTTTATTTTCATCATTTTAAAAAATGATATTTTATTTAAGAATATAATATTTTAATGAAACAAAAAAAACCACAAAATTAAACAAGTTCGAATATTAAATTTAAAGAAAGTGTTTTCCCCGAAAAAACGGTATAAGAAATATGTAATAAGATAAATTCTAGTATTAATGTCTGTTCTAAGTATTATTCTATAAGTTTCTATAACCTATTCTATAGAACAACAATTTATTCTAAACATTTATTCTTAACATAACATTTATTCTTAACATAATTATTATAAAACTTTAATAAAAATATATAAGTATTATACTTATATATTTATACGATATTAATATATTGTTATAAGCAATATATTTTAACTTATTTTTTTAATATTTTCATATATAACAGTATAATATTTATCGTATAGATTTGTCTATTATAGACCACAATATTTATGCTATATATTTATATTATGTGATGAAAAGACGTTAAACAATATTTTGCTGTTATAATTATAAATATTTTTTCATTATATTTTACAAATATAGGGGAGTCCGGGGCAGGTTCGCTAATTTTTTCGAATTTCAATGATAAAACATATATTTAATTTAATATATTTAATTGTTCCAATTGGCTATATAATAATGATAAAGACAACCTTCCTCTACATTTTGATCCTATCGACGATGCTATAAACTGTATAGTTTCGTCTGTGATAATAAAAATATCAAGTAAATATCACCTAGTAAGTAGGCACACCTGTCCCGGTACTGAGGGCTAGCAGCTCGAAGTAGGTCAGCATTACATAAAATACATGTAATTATACACTTTGAAGAATGTTAAATCAATAAATTATACAATGAGATACCATATATGATACCTTTGTGCTTACAATTTTATTTATACCTAAAAATAAAAGGAAATAATTTTATGTAACATACTTTATATGTATATACATCATCATATGTTCGCCTTGCATTGTGTTCTATGATCCTATGATCACTATGCATTGTGAGCTATGTTTACTAACCTATTCTTTGCGCGTAGCTACGCCAGTGCGCACCAGTTCATCAGTGCTACCATACAGAAAAATTAGCGAACCTACCCCATCTACTCATTTCTGCGATTTTAATAATTTTAAGAATAAAGTTCACTGTTATTATACAAAACAGTGTATCATATATCTTTAACAAACTTCATTTTAACTAATATTACATAACTTCAGTTCATTCATTCACGATAGAAAATGCAAGAATATTTCGAGAAGTCTAAAACTTTACTCAACTGACTTCAAATCAGTTTTTTCTTTCTTTTATCTGTAATATTTGCGCGATTGTAATGTAAATGTAATGTAATGAAAATTGGGGATAAGTATCTTTACACTAAACGAAATGTTTTATGATTCCACTCGAACTGTTTGTTTCACAATAAGTACGTGAACGAAACGATTTGCGAACCTACTCCTACTGCGAACCTGCCCCGGTCTCCCCTATTATAAATATTTTTTTTGCGTATCTAGTTTTGTATTCTTTTTAAATCTTTATAAAAAATATATATTCAATATATATTTATGTAAACTATTTCTTCAAAATATTTATGAATCTTTATCATAAATAATGTTTCATTATTGTGTGCTATTATTGTGTGTCTGGGAAGTCTGTGGTTGATACCGGGTCGCGTAGCGCCTACTTCTCACGCTATATCGCTAACAGCGGTTTCGTTAATCGGCATTGTTACATTTTCTGGAGTACGTACTACGGAGTACGTAACAATTAGGAACAACTGATGTCGGACTATTTGTTTTCCTTTTTGTTAAGTGTGAAAAATAATATATACTATCTCTTCCATATAGATTTTTATAATTAGAGGTACGAAAAACGTCATATTTCCCCTTTGTCAGAAAGAAAGGACGCATACACTTAGATAAGAGATAAGATATCTTAGACTAAAGTCCTCGTTCTAATATACTCTCCTCTCTATCCACTTTCTCTTGTTACAGTGCAATTAACTAATTTATTAGTTGCATTAAAAGAAGGAATACTATTGCTATGAAATTTTTAGCATGACCCAACGAAATTTCGTGACTCTTGTAATGTGCCATATTGACAAAAAAAATCGTAACTCACCCAAAAATTGAGATCCAAATACGACAATTGTATATAATAATCTCTCAATTAATAATAAATTAGATTGTATATAATAATCTCTCAATTAATAATAAATTAGATTATTAATATAATAATCTCTAATTATCATACCATATTAGCGTTGTCCTCACCATTCCCCTCATATCGGAAATCTATACATTGCGTCATATTTCCTGCTGCGTCATATCATCCCACTTTCCCTTATGTGCGCGCGCGTATGTGTATGCGCGTAAAATATGATAGATGCATTTTGCAGAAAAAATTTTAAGCTTTTATTTATTTTTTAGCAAATTTCGAGTACATTGATTCGTTCACTTTCTGTGAGAGATCCAAGTCGAAAAGACTTTTCTGCATTAACCCCAGTAAGCAATCTGTGCGCAGACTGACGTCAGATTCGAGCAGAATCTGTCGACAGATTCATAGACATCTGCGTCCCCAATCTGCTGTTAGATTGTTGACAGAGTCTGCTGAATAGGCTGTGATGGCAGATTGGCGGCATAATGCGCGCAGATTTTGCTGCCGTTAGCAGACTCTGCTGTCTGTCAGTAGACTCTGCGAGCAAACTGTCTCAAATCTGCCGTTAGAATAACCGTCTGATAAACAGATACTGCGTGCAATCTGTTGCTTTTCTGTCGCAGATACTATTAACAGACTCTGCGCAAAATCTGCTCGCGTAGGTTTGGCTATCTGAGACGTTAAATAACCGAATGAAAGAAAATTGCATCGCAATGTGTGGAAATACAAATTGAAAACAAAAGTTCACGTTTTTAAATGACATAAATATTATTTATATGATTCTTTTTATTTATGCGATGCAATTTAGTAAAAATTTTTTTGTATTTGTCCGATTTCAATATATATTTGTCTATAACTACGTAAAAGTAAAGTAAACTTTATATTCAGTGATATATCTAGAAACTAAGAACTTTAGTTTTTAAAAATGCTTTTTGATTTGTTTTATTACAGTTATTTTTACGAAAATTGCTGCTCATTGGAGAAGCAATTGCCTATACCCACACAACACACGTCTAAAATCGGGACATAAGACGTCTGAAAAGCATCTTAAAGACAACTCTCAGACGTCAGAATGTAAGACGTCTCTAAGATGTCTTTAAGACGTCTTCAAGATGTCTTATGTCCCGATTTTAGACGTTGTGTTGTATGGATAAGATCACGAAAATCAATTCTTTCATTTTTGTACGTAATGTACGTAAAGTATTTTTTCGGATGAAAACTGAATAATTAATTTGATTAAATATGAATGTGATGAAATATTTTACAGTTTTTGTTTGTTCATTAACAAGAACTTCTACTTACATTTTTGAGAAGCGTGAACAGGTACTTTATCTGTCCTTTGCAATCGTTGGGAGAGCAACCATTACGTGAATTATCATACATACGACGATAATGAGGGTAAAAGTTTGAAAACCCAAGTTCACGGAACGTCCTCTTCATCGTACCTCGACAAGAAGGATGGAAAGGAAAGTTTCTGCAACAATAATTATATTTTGTCTTAAGCGACTACATTTATTTTAACGATATCGGGGGAGGAAAGAGAGCCATGTGTAACTTACGCGCAATTCGTACTCAAGCAAGACCAGAAACAACCCAGGAAAATCACAAAGATAAGTACGGCTCGTTGCAGAAACATCTGAAACAAATTCATTCAGAAATTAAACGCGATTATGCAATTATGTGTAAAAGATTATACAGACTGCCTGATAACTCATAGAGGAGCCGTCGTATACAAGTAGATTAGGTCAAACTAAACAAAAAATTCCTCTATCATTTTACGAACAACCCACACAACATAACATCTAAAATCGGGACATAAGAAGACTGAAAGGGATCTTAAAGACGTTTCTAAGTCGGAATGTAAAAGTTCCTAATATGTCTTTAAAACGTTTTACGTTCCGACTTTAGACGTTGTGTTGTATGGGAACTATGTAAAATTTTGGGTTATCGATCAAAAAAGATTCGTGAATGATTATGTGAATGATTATATGGTAGATGAGCTGTGATAGCGACGTTTGCCATTATATGCTTTTATATTAAGTTAAACTGGAAAAAATGTCTGAACAAAAAAGTCTTCTACCATTTTCCAAATAATCCACGTAATGATTTCCACGTACATGTTTAGTTAATTAAAGAAGTTTGGTACAGTTATGCGCGTTAATGCACTAATTTTTTTTTAATTAATAACTAAACATCTACGTGGTCATTTGGAAAATGGTAGGAAGACTTTTTTGTTCAGTTTGACCTAATATATACAAGTATACAGCGGACGTCGCCATCATAATTCATCTACTGTAATCATTGGCGCGTAATCATTAACGAATCTTCTTTGATTAATATTTAATCAAAGAATTTTTTATTCAGTTTGACCTAATCTACCTGTATATCGCGACTTTTCTATAAGTTACCGCGGACAACACGTATGCGTATATTTATTAAATTATATACGTTAATTCTATATACAGAACTCTGTTTCTCTCTTTCTCTCTCATGCAGTTGTTATCCGTATACTTGTAATCGCTATATCTTTTTGTCTGAGTGCTCTACATTTGATATTAGGCGTTTCACGATCCGATAAGAAAATTCATTTTCAAGAATTTCCAGTTAGCAACATTTTTATCCTCGACGAATTCTCCTATTAGATATCTGAAGTCATATGTCGGATGACATAAGTCGACGGATACGTAAGGTGAATCTTTTATAAGCCGATTTCAACCCAATATACACGCGGTGAATTAATGTCGTTGACGCGAACAAGCGGGAAGGAAGGTCTCGCCGACGGAGATGGAAGCAACGTGAGAGTAGTGGTCGGCGGAGAAAATACGAGCTGATCTTTTCCGCGCTCAGAGATGCGGAAATATCCTTAACAGACGACCAATAAGGAACCCATCCAGCTACGGGGCTCGTCCTTTACGGGGCTCGATCAGAGTAACGATGACACGTGCACATATGTGAAAGATCGCTTCGTTTGGTAACGTAGGGATCGAGCAGCGGACATAGTCGTTCGCACGGCCGCGATCACGAGCTAAATCGATACTAGAGTCGCTATTTGTTCGCCGTGTTGGCGAAACGACGGTTCACTCCAGCGCCATTTGAGTTGGCCAATTTGCAGCGTTGTATTATTCTTCTTGTCGGAATCGCGCCTTTCGAGCGAGCGCTCAAAGGACCAGGCGCTTCCGGGATTTCACTCGATTCTTCCTCCTTAATTGAACGGCTTCGAAGAATGAGGCATCCTATGGAGCGCATCCTTCAGCACGGAGTTTTCTAATTTGAAGGAGTGAATCTCGTTTGTCTGATACCTCGCATGTGAGCATGATTGATATTTGTGTTTCAGTTTTCCTTAAAATGCTCGAGATGATATTGCGTAATTATATCCACAATGCTAAATGAATTCCAAGGGCACATGTGTCGTTTACTTGCGCGATTAAACGGAAACTCGAACATTACTGTGCAATTAATAATATTGGTTCGTCAAAAAAACTTTATTTTGATTCCGCGATTTAATTTCACATCGTCTACACGATCCATAATTGCTCAATTGATAAGGTCACGTTTGCTGTATTGGTATTTCTCTTGATATATGAATATATATATATATATATATATATATATATATATATATATATATATAGGGTGTGTTTTCAGCAATTTTTGTGGAAACGTAGAACGGATTGAGATAAACGTAAAAGTCCTACATTGTTTTGTGATATTCGCAATCAATTTCGAGATATTAATTAAAGAAAATTGATAAATAATCATACACGATGAGTTGTAGTGACGCCGTCTGCCGTTGTATTATATTTATATAATAAATCAAATTAAACAAAAAAGTCCTATATCATTTTAATAAATATAAATAACCATACAGATTTTTAGATATTAAGTAAAGAAGATTTGTACATTATTGCGTACAATTATGTAACAATTTTCTTTCATTAATAACTAAAAATCTATGTGGTTATTTGCAAAATGGTAAACAGCTTTTTTGTTCAATTTAACCTAGTATACAAGCACACATCGTCACTACAGCTCTACTACAGAATGTATTAGATTACACGTTTATGTTCACCTGAATCCATTCTACGTCCATCAAAATTGCGGAGGAAATTCTGGGACACCCTGTATAAACATGTATAATATATATATATATATATATATATATATATATATATATATATATATATATGTATGTATAATGTGAGCTTTACGGCTCGTTGTCAAGGAGGAATCACTCTTTTTCTATTTTGCCGCAGTGATTTTTCGTATTGATTGAAACACCTTGCCAATCGATTGAATTCTTAGCGGCGCCCATTGATGCAGTAATATAGAAAATTTTTGCAATATCGTCTTTCAGATATAGTAAACGTTGAAATCACATCGAATCTAAAGATAAAACTGCACATTCGTGTCGTTCACCGTAACGATATTCAGATAACTTGCGACGTTATTTCTGATTGAATAACATATACAAATAATGTCATAAGTTATCTGAATAGCGTTACGGTGAGCAATATGATGTGAATACGCAGTTTTGTCTTTAAACCCGATCACGTAACTTTAACGTTCATCGTATCTGAAAGATATTGCAAAAACTCTCTAATATTAAAAGTATCGCAATTTTTATCTTAGGAAATATTTGTTGAACATGAAAATCAAAATTTAATACTAAGTTTCTTCAGAGAAGAATACAGTTATTACATAATTATAGTAAATAATTCATCTAGCGGTTTAATGGTTATTGCAATTATACAATATCGCAATTATACAATATCGCAATTATACAATATTGCAATTATACAATAAGCACTATGTTTAGCTCAGTATTGGGTCAATATTGAAGCCAGAACTTATCTATCTTGCAACCCAGGATAAGATTATATAATAAACAAGATTACCTACTGATTCTTGGTCGTTGATATTGAACAATATTTGGTCAGTTAATCAGCATCGGTAATTTCTACGTAGGTGTATATGAGAGAGAAGTTTTAAGTCATAACTATAAAATACAGATATAAAATTTGATTCAAAATTTCAGACGCCCCAAAATGCCTCAAAACGCGAAAAAAATAACTCAAAATTTTTCTTTCTTAAGCAAAATCTAAGGATCTTTCAACTTTTCAACGCGACATGTACAGCGAAGAACGTAATTTCTAAAAAACAACAATAATAATAAAAATTTTATCGTTATTCTTCTTTGACCAATTTATTGGTCTTAATTAAATGATGATCTTAATTAAAAATAATAGTAAATACGTTCCTATCAAAATATTAGGAATTACTCAGCTCGCAAAAGGTCAGCGTCTATTTTTAATCTTCTCGTATTTTCGGACTTCTCGGACTCTTTCGAATGCTGACGACCTAGTTCCCGAAGAACGAAGCACGAGATTTCGCAAAGAAGGGGGTGGGCTGGACCGCCCGAGGAGCGACGCGACGGCGGCATGAGAATTGTTTCCTTTCAGCCGAGCGCGGAGGGGTGGATTCTCACGCTTGTCTTACCGCTTATTTATTTTAATGCGTCTCTTCTCGATCGGCCGAACGCACGGTTATCATCGGCACTCGGAGAAGAGAGCGATGGAATTGAGGGAAGTTGAACGCACCGATCACGTAACGCACACGTCGTAAACAGACATCCTTGTAAGAGCGCTTTTAGAATACGGAAATGATTCTCTTCATTTCCACGGCATTACGGGGTTTGTCGGCGACCCCGACATACCAATATATCGCGGTTATAGCTACGACGTACAGTGGGCCAGCGACCCGTTAAACTTGGCCAAAAATATGAAATATAAAAGTTCACGCAGGTACAAACGTAAGTATTGTATTAGTATAATGTCAAGTCCAATATATTCTAGCAAAATTAATCTCTTTTGTTGTTATTTTTTTATTCCACAAATTTTATGCCTTGAAAATGACTGATCTTAAATACTCCAGTTTCTCTTCTCCACGAGATGTCTATGTAGGAGTCTATTATAGTCTATGTAAGAGTATATTTTACTGCGTAAAATACTTAAATAAAAGGAAAAACCATTACAATGTCATTTATAACAAATCTATAGCTGTTCATAAAAGATCTCAACGAGAAGCAAAAACATAATTTGTTACTGTTTTGGAGACTATTGATCAAAAACGCATTTTGTATTTCCTTTTCGCATATTCGCATCTATAAAAAAAGTTTTACGACATCACATCGAGTCTCTTTACTTATTCTATAACTATAAAAGTCTTCTTTCTAATTTCTGAAAAAAATTACAATATCTGTTATATAATGTTAATATCTGTTACCTTAAAAGATAAATGCTGCGGAAGTGACACTATCATTACCATATTAAGTATATATTTTGTATGTGTGTGTGTGTGTGTGTGTTGTAAATATTTCCATATTTTGACAGCACTGATCTATTAACATAATATTTATTATGTTACTGAATTCTTCCGCACAAAGAGGTCAGTGTTACGGCTCATATTAGGTCAATCCTGACTAGAAATTGTCATCAGGTATATTTGAAATGTATAAGGTCCTAACTAGGGGTTTGCAAGGTTATCCTTACTATGGTAAACCTAGTCATGTACTGATAAAAATCGAGTAAGGAAGACCCTTGCCAGATTATAATGATTAGGTATATACCCGACTAGAAATTTACCCCATGGTCCTAATCGGGTTGACCATAACTAGATGTCAGGTCCATTTAAGGTTATACTGTCGGGTGCTGAAAAGTCACGTAACACTGCGTTGTTATGAGGACCTTAATCAGGTCCATTATAATGTCCTTATCAGGCTATACTATTAAATCGCTATCATGTTTTCCCATACACTACAATAATGTTAAATCAATGTTGAATTGCAACAATGTCAATATTGCAGTAATATTGAGAAACATTGAATCAACGTTGCACAAACCTTGATATAATGTAAAAATGTCCGCTTAAAAGTTTTCCGCGTAGTTTTTTCATAAAAAAAACATGACGGTTGTGCCCTATTGCAGTTATTATTCGATATTGTTCGTTACACAGTATCAAAAAATTGTAATATATTTTTCGAACTTCTTTCATAAATATCTTTTTAACAAACAATGAGCGACGACTAAAACCTTCTGAGAGTTATTCAGGAAGGTGACCTTTACAACATATGTCAAGGTCAAGGTAATCGGAGGGTGGTTCGTTATTCTGCATAATTACCCAAATAAATATATTTCTCTTTAAAAGGAAAAAAAGTTAAAATAATATCTAGTAGATTTCTAGAGGAATTAATAGTCCACTTCATTAGAAGAGAAATACTTTTTCGGTAAAAGTAAACTATGAAATAAAAATATGAAATTAGAGGAAATAGTACCATGTAACTAGAGTTCTTTCTTTTAGGTTATCAATCGCCGATATCTTAAATATCAGGAACGACCTCTTCACTGGAGGAAATCGCAACTTCTGAGAAGACAACAGTAATGATAGAATCACACTGGTAGACTAGTTACAATTTAAAAAACTATACTACATCTCGAAAACCAAACTACGCCTCGAAAATTAAACTCGATTATTAATTCGAACTAAATTTAAAAAATTTAATTTACTAAAATTTATTGTAAATAAATGACTAAAAGATATATAAATTTATTAACTGACTAAATAATATATAAATTTATTAACTTTAACTAAGTTTAACGAAAATTAGATTTAACGAACAATACAACAAGTTTGCAAACAGCAATTTACGTTACCACATGAAACGATTAATTCGAACAATCGACCAAATTGCACAAATAATCCTCATAGTTTAGAGAAATGCTAATTATGCAGGCACGACTTATGCAGAAATCGAAATGTGTGGAGTAGGATTTGCAGTCAGTTATAATTACAATAATTCCGTACGCGTTTGCGTATTGACATTGTCGAATAATACAAATCGCGTAACAACAAAAGGCGTAGTTGCGAATGAATGTCGTAGGTGTTGTCGAACCAAATTAGAAGGTAACATTTGTAAAGAATCATGTTGTTGAAAAACGCTATATTCTTAAGGAGACCTGCGGCTACACATTCGCATAAACGAAGACAAATATGGACAAACGCGCAAAAGAGAAAGAAGCATTATCGCGATATTCGTGATGTTTCGGCTCGGGTTAATTATGACCTACACGGCACGCAGACGACCTAATTCGATTAATCCTCGTTCGTCTTCGTTTAGGCGACGTAATGACTACTTATCTTTGTTAATCCACTCGCAAGATACTCTCCGCTTTTAAAGAGGTCCTAACGCTACTCTCCAATAAATCAATATTTTATCAACCTTTTCACTACGGCTGATCTGTGTGGACGTGAAACCCCACTACTGTATGGACATTTAGCCCCGCGTAATAAACATTAGTAGCTCGAATAGCATTTATACTTTAATACGCTGTATAAATGATACATCGTAATTACGTTAATATATAGAGTAATAATTAATAAATTCATAGTATTTACATGTATATATTTATATATTTATATGTAATGAATTGCAAATAAATAAAATAATAGTTTTCTTTTAAAACTAAATGGAACAATAACTTTTTTTAATCGCATATAATAAATATGTATTTTAAAATAAAGACTATGAATGTATAAATATAAATAAATATAAGAACATATATAAATGATATAGCGTTAATATACAGGATGTCCTACACTGGTAAAACACCCGTTAGGGGTAGGTGCAATTTGGAACTGAAAGTTCCCCTTCCATTTTTGGATCCGACAATTAGTTAACGAGATATTAATTAATTAAGTCTACCAATCCCTTAGCGTCCTGAGTGAGCGCTCAGGGATGTAGGACGCCGTAGGCTCCTGCTTGTCCGCTTTTCTCCCTTTTATATACATACACACTAAATTCACTCACGATACTCAACCATTGACATGCAGAAAACATTCAAGTCACCCACGCACTCGAAGCAAACATACCACACATGCCCTCCCTTTTCGGCACATAAAGTGTAATTACTTCGCCCACTCGCATTAAAAACATTTAAATTATCCATGCACTCATAACCGCACGCAAAAACACCCATACATCACACCCACACATTGAAAACTTGCCACCACTCTGGCCCCGGCCAGGCACTCATCCACATACCCACTCACTCACTCATCCATATTTATTCCTCTATGATTCAAAAAAGGGGAGAAAAACGGACAAGCAGAGCCTTTGAGAAGTCCACGGCGTCCTACGGCCCTGAGCGCTCACACATGGCGCTAAAGGATTGGCAGACTTAATTAATTAATATTTCATTAATTAATTGTCGGATCCAAAAATGGAAGAGAAACTTTTAGTTCCAAATTTCACCCGCTTTCTACCCTTAACAGGTGTTCTATCAATTGTAGGACACCCCATATTAACGTTGAATATATATTAATGTTAAGTTAATATAAAGAATTGCGTTAATATGTAGAATAATATTTAATAAAGTCATAGAATTGTTATATGTATATATTTATATATAATACATTACAAATAGATGAAACAATAGTTTTTTTTAAACTAGATAGAGCAATAAAATTTTTTTTAACCGTATATATTAAATTATAAATATATTTTAAAGCAAGTACTTAGACATAATCCTACATCGCATATATCACATTGATATCGCGACCTTCATCTTTTATCATTTTTTAATACAAACAACATCATTAAAAAATAATTTTAAAAATTAAAAAATAATTATTATGAATACATGTCTATTTCCTCGATATACTGTCAAAAAATAACAGCGTTTTCGACTTTATAAACTTAAAGTTAATAAAATCATTTAAAATAACAAAAAAATAATTTCGTAACAAAATTAGTGAGATGTAATTCTTAAATGAACATAATATATAAACGTTTTTATTTTGAAAGTTGAAAAACATTTTAAAAATGACGAAATAAGACTTTCATTTGATGTAAATAGCTATTGTAAGAAAGTAAACAGAAATATGATGTATATAGACGATCTCAAAACGATTTGTATACACTATTTATCGAGTAAAGTTGCAATGCTTTAAAATTCTTAGAATTGAAACCGTGTCATATATGTGCGTACTAATCGGTTATAAATAAATAAAAATTACTTACAACGAGTTAATTACAACGAGTCCTTTTAATTAAAAATAAATTTTTTCTTCTAAATTTCACGAGTGTCATGCTACGTACTATTACTTCGGCTTTTGTCATGACCTTGTCATTACTGCGCATACACAGCAGTGATTTCAGTTCTGACAATTGAAGCGTTGCAACTTTCCTATCAGAAAAAGTGCGTGTTAACTAAATCTCGAATATATCGAAGTGGGTGAAGCCTCTTTTCCGCGACGCTAATTGGCCGTCTCGATCCCGTCGCAGTTGAATTCGTGCCGCTGTCAGCCGCGGTGATCAGGTTGTGTTGTTCGCGCCATATGAATTTGATATTTATTGTAATCCCAGCAAACACAATGTTACATGTAACATACATATTAGTTACACATAACATTGTTTGCTGGCAATATAATTTGTAAAAACGAATGTTATAATATAAATTATAAATACAACGAAAAATATAAATTATAAATACAACGAAAAAGCTAAAGTGGCGCGCGTGAAGCGCGCGCTATGTGGTGTTCTAGTGTTCAATAAAAAGTGTGCAAACCGATGTGCAATATTTTATATCTGATACATTCTATCTGATGAATGCTTCAATATCGCTGACGCATTATGATTACCTAGATAACGATACTCGATAAATGCTTTCAGTTGCAGCAACACGATCAGTTGCCGGTCGCACGTTAATTAATCAAAACAGGGATAGTGTACAGAATAAAAGTGACATTTTTATAGTTTTACGTTTTGTCTGGTTGAATAAAGAAAGTTATCCGCTTGCAGGTAAATCTGTTTTTCATAAGAATAATTCCACACAGTAATTGCGCGATTACTTGCAGTGTTTTTTTTGCAGATTTGCACTCTTTTGCAGAATATGTTTGCATGTTGCACATATATTCAGAAATCATTTTATTCAAACTCGCTTGTTTGGAAAACAATTTGTAGATCTTTTTTCGATACACTTTGAAATGCATTCGACGTTTAATTAAAACCTTTCGAAAAAATTTCAAAAAGAGGTTCGAGATTTACTTAAAACAAATTGGACGTTGGTTGCTTTTCGAAATATTTCGAAAGAAAAATATGTAAACCTTCCTCCTCCCGCCTTTCTAGTTCCACAACCGAGTGTAGAGTCGTAAAATAGCTTAAACATGATGAAACTGACAATTCACTAAACAGTTAAAACTGAAAGTTATTACTGTGTTGTGTGCGGTTATACATGCGGATATGTATGTGTGCATACGTGTGTGTCTCGAGCTTGTCCAGTCATTACATTAGTAATTATTATTATTATTAATTATTATTATTATTTAGTATTAATTATATTATTGTTACTATTATTACGTAAATCTGTCGGTAATGATTTTCAATTTTATATTTTTATCCCACTTCTCCTTCGTCGTTACAAGTTTTGGTCCTATTCCAATGTCACGTGACATGTGAAATTACATCATTCTCACACGTAGGATAAGAAAAATAGAAAACATTATATTATTATAAATAATAATTATTAGATTGCGCGTTACTAACTTTTTTTCAATAATTACTTAATAAAAATTTCTTAATAATATAAGTAATTTTTAGACATAATACTAAATTAATTGTTTTATTTTATAATTTTAATTAGTAAAAGTTGTTTTTAAAAAATGAATATTCCGAAACCAAAATTTTGATTATTACAAAATATTTTTATGGATATAAAAATTTTAATACAGCGTATATACATATAATGTATAATGTTCCATGGTCTTTTTTTCCCTGCCATCATAAAATGTCACGAAAGTTAATAGATATATCCTCCTCCCTCCTCGTAGTGTGGTGTAATTGTTGAATAACTTTTTTTAGTAACTGCGTGTTGTTCAAAATTTGCTTTTGCATTAAGTGGAAAATGATTATCATTATCTTGTCTTGATATGCTGACAATTATTTAGGAATATACATTTACTTATTATTAACTCTAAATTATATACAATTGAATATTGACAAAAATACAACAAATAAAGAATAATTCTGTTTATAATTATATGGTTCTTATTTGTCATGACATGTGTTACCTGAATAGTATGAATAGTATGAATATAGCTAGGTATAATTTGTTTAAAGAGAGTTATTTGTTAATATAAAATTTTAAAAAATATGAAATAAAAAAATTTTTTTTAATTTCTTGAGAGTTATTTTACGAATGGATTACATATTTCTACTTTTCAATAAATAATATTTTACATTTGTAATATAAACTATTATTTTGAATCATTTTTACAATGGAAATTTCAGCAATGGAAATACGCTCTAGGGAACATATACAAGAATTGCAGAAACTGTTGCGAGAAGTAGAACCTGCCGATGAACCTATGGATGAGGAAAGCTCATCAGAAGATCAACAATCGAGTGACACAGAACTTCTCGGTTTCTCGATAAGAAAGGACTGTTTTAGACCTCGCAAGCTTCCTAATATTCAATGGTTGGATACACCGCAGGAGACAGAAAGACAAAAAACAGACCAGGTACCTGAAGCGTTAGACGCTGCAAAGAATATAAATACTCCACTAGAAGTATGGTCTCTCCTTTTTACTGATGAAATGTTAAATATAATTGTCAAATACACTAATGCTGAGATTACAAGAAAACGAGAACACAATTTCAAAAATTGTGAAACTGATTTATTAGATACGGATCTCGATGAATTAAAAGCCTTTATAGGAATTTTATACTTTTGTGGATTACAAAAAGATAATCATAAAAGTCTCTTGAAATTATGGAATATGCTCGAATCACCTTTCTACTGTTTAGCTATGCCAAAAGCAGAACGTTTTGCACTTTTGTTACAATGTTTACGGTTTGATGACAAAAATACACGTCAAGAACGTCGCCAGCGTGATAAGTTAGCACCAATTCGTGACCTTTGGGATTTATTTTTATCGAATTGTATGAAATATTATTTACCAAGTAAATATGTAACAATAGACAAGCAAATACTGAGTTTCTGCGGAAGATGTCCTTTTCGCGTACGTTCCGAAGACAAATACGGACTTGAAATTGTTATGATGAACGATTCAGAAACATATTATATGATAAACGCTATTCCTTACGTTGGGAAGATCACTACACAACTTTTCGAGCCAGTGCCTTCTTACTATGTGCGTCAATTATCTAAGCCGATCCATAACAGTCACAGAAACATTACTTGTGATAACTGGTTTACTTCTACTTCTCTCGTGCAAATAATGCAGAAAGAATTTTCACTTAGTATAGTAGGGGAAATTAAACCAACTCGATTAAATATACCACAGGAAATGAAAGATTTCACAGAAGTTAATAGTATACGTTTTCGTTATGCTGATAACATGACATTACTTTCATATTGTCCTAAAATAGATCAAACTGTTTTAATATTATCTACTTTACATGAACAAAACGATATAAATCTTGGAGCAAACATGATTCAATTTTACAATTCTACTAAAAGTAGCACTAACATTTTTGACCAAATATGTCATGAATATAATACTGCATGTCCTTCTAATCGTTGGCCGACACGATTTTTCTTTGGTATGCTTGATTATAGCAGTATTAATAGTTTCATTTTATATACTTTAAACAAAGATAACCATAAGATAGCAAGATATAAATTTTTAGAAACATTAGCTAAAAGTTTAATTATGCCATATAAAAGTAGATACTTGCCTTTACATACAGTCCCACATCAATTACAAATACCAAGTTTAAAATGCAAATGGTGTCCTGTCGATTTAGATAGTAAGAGTCTAATTGTTTGTCCTCAATGCAAAGAACCACGATGCGAGGAGCATCGCTCAATGTTATGCGGACAATTGTGCAAAAATTAGCTGTTATTATTATATTATTATTATTGTATTATTATTATTAAGCTTATTATTGTATTATTATTATATATTTCAAGTATGTTTTTTATAATTTGTCTTCAAAATATACTAATTATATTAACTATATATTGAAATATGACAAACGGCACACGTATATGTATACAGTATATATATTTATATTCTTATATTATTTTCATTGACAAATTATATATAAAAATATAAAGGATAGGTTGCATATATAAGTGTATTATTTGTCATGTTTCAGTATATGGATTAGGTTAGAGTTAGTTTTTTGAGGAGGTGATGCGGAAGAAGGGGCGGAGTCCCTCCCCCGCGCATAAGCGTGTACTGTTTATCATATTTTAACGTATCTTGTATACCAAAATTACGTTTCGTTTGAAAAACTTTTAGTTATTTTTATTAAACAATGAAAACCAGTTAAAACCTTTTGAATGTTATTCAGGGCAGTAACCTTGAGAACATATATTAAGGTTATGCTCATTCCTCTATACCGGATAATTACCTAAAAAATAATTATTATCTCTCTTACCTAAACAATAATGTATCTCTACTTCTTCGATATACTGCTAAAGAATAACAGCGCTTCCGACTTTATAAACTTAAAGTTAACAAAATTATTTAAAATAACAAAAAATAATTGCGCAATAAAATTAGTGAAATGCAATTCGTAAATGTCGTAATCGTTTTTATTTTGAAAGTAATAAAATATTTAAAAAATGTCGAAATAAGACTTTCATTTGATGTAAATACTCATTGTAAGAAAGTAAATAGAAATATAATGTATATAGCTGGTTTCAAAACGATTTGTACACCATTTATCGAGTAAAGTTGCAATACTTTAAAATTCTTAGATTTGAAGCCACTATTGTGTCATATATGTGCATACTAATCAGTTATAAATATATAAAAATTACTTCACAACAATGAATTCTCTTAATTAAAAATAAATTCTTTTTTCTAAATTTCACGAGTGTCACGTTCTGTATTATTACTTTAGCTCTTGTCATGACCTTGTAATTACTGCGTAAACATATCAGCAGTAATTTCAATTCTGACAACTTGAAGCATTGCAATTTCATTCAATAAAAAGTGTGCAAACCGATGTGCAATATTCTATACCTGATACATTCTATCTGACAATATGTGATAAATGCTTTGGTATCGCTGATGCTTTATCAGTACCTAAATAACGATTGTCGATAAACGCTTTCAGCTGCATTTCTTTCTGGTCGCACGTTTGGAACTATTGATTAATCGAGAAACGGGGAATATGTATAGAGCAAAAGTGACATTTTTATAGTTTTACGTTTCGTCTGGTTAAATAAAGAGAATTATCCGCTTGCAGGTAAGCCTTTCTTTCATAAAAATATTTCCTCACAGTAATTGCGCGATTTCTTGCAGCGTACTTCTTGCAGATTTGCGCTTCTTTGCAGAACTTGCTCGGAAGTTGCACACATATTCAGAAATTATCTTATTAAACTCGCTTGTTTATAGAACAATTTTTAGATTTTTTTTCGATGTACTTTGAAATGCATTCGACGTCTAATAAGAAAACTTTCGAAAAAATTTCGAGAATTATTCAAAAACAAATTGAACGTTGGCTGCTTTTCGAAGTATCTTGAAAGAAAAATATGCAAACACTCTCCTTCCCTCTCCATTCTACAAGCGTACAGTTGTATAATAACTTAAGGGGAAACAACAGGGTAACGGCAAAAAAAAGGCGATATTTAAAATTTTTTGCCTCACTCATACATTGCAGAAATGTAGAAGTTAGTGGATTAAAAAGTACATATCTTGAACTAAGTTTACGAATTATTGTATTGAGAAATATGTATTTTAAGGTACACTTGTAGAGGTAGTTGCAACACACTGAACGGAAGAAGCGTCTTATTTGTTGTCATCATATTCGTCTAATAATGATCTAAAAATAAAAAGTAAAATACTGTTTTAATCTATATTAGTATAGTTTCAATTAAGCGATTAAATTAGCCGATTAAAAAAAACGAATTATTGTTAAAATGGCAGATCTTAAAAAAAAAAGTTAAAAAAATCAGTTAAAATTTCGTCCTTTCAGAGAGCAAAAAAATAGAGTAATTATGCATTTTAACGGAGCAACTTCCAATAACCTTGATCTTGACATGTTATGTCATTCTCTTGAGTAACCCTCAAAAAGTTTTAGGCGGCGCTCATTGTTTCTTAAAAAATTATTAACAAAAGAAGTTGCATAAAATGAATGTAATTTTTGGACACCGTATATACAAAAACAACGAATTTGTAAACTAGGAAGATGCTTGCTACATACACACATACGCACACTGCTTGGTTGCCTGTGCGCTCGCCCAAGTAGTATGTGTGTGTATGTGTGTGTGTGTGTGCAAATCTACAGATTAAATGAACAACTTCTTTTGTTAATAATTTTTTAAGAAACAACGAGCGCCGCCTAAAATTTTTTTTAGGGTTATTCAGGAGGGTAACCTCTATAACATATGTCAAGATCAAGGTCATTGAAGGTTGCTCCGTTAAAATGCATAATTACCAAAAATAGTAAATATTAATATAAAAAAAATTCCTACGATTAACTGAAGAGAATCTTATGTATAGATAAAGGATGTCTAATCAAAATTTCAATGCGATTTTAATTAGTGAAGAAATCGTGACAACCAGTTGAAAAAATATCGTTTCGAGAGAAGCGCGTTTAAAGTTTTAACTTTAGTTCTTTTTAGTATAACATAGGAAAGACTTACCACAATTCATCGATTCCTGGTCTATAATAGAGGTCTTAGATACTTGTGGAAGGCAAATTCACTCTTTGATTGAAGTTTGGATCGTTTGTAACACTTCCAGTAGATGAACGCGCATCAGCTTTATTGAAAAATTAATATTCTTGTTTTTAGAAAAATCCTCTAAAATAGGCACCAAGTATAAAATATTCTAAATATAAGATTTATTCCTCTTGTTTAGAGAAACTCTTCTCTCTGTGTACAGAATTTTCTCTCAAAACAAGAGGAATAAATCTTATATTTAAAATATTTTATACTTGGCGCCTATTTTAGAGGATTTTCCTAAAAACAAGAATATTAATTTTTCAGTGTTGGCTCATGCGGTGCTAGTTTTTCGCTATACAAAATAAGTACATTTTGAGCCCAATCTTGATTTGCATTGCATCTAATACTTGTAATAAAGATGACATTTCATTATTAAAAATGGAAACCGTCAAATACGATTTGCACAATAATAGCCCGACTTGATGAAGTTTTCGGTGCAAACTTCTAAATGAGAGCATTAAAGCTCTCATTGCAGTTTTGTGTAAATTCACCTAGGCAACGTTCCAGCAACTCTGGCTTGCTCAAACCCGTATAAATAGGAGTGATTGCATCGACAACATTCTGCAGCAATTGTTTATGCTTGCAGATTACCGGCAGCTTTTGCGCGCTGCCAAGTGCATCACGCATTCGCACTTTCTGGATACAAGTAATGTTTTAGATCTTCGTCTGACGAATTTTTATGATATAAGATAGCCCATATAGCATTGCGCATTTTTTCGACAGAATCATTATTTTCATGAATGACTTTTCCATAATAGTTGCACAACTCGTTGATCATTTTATCAGTCAACTTGCCTCTACCGCTAAATCCTTTGTGTTTTTTTTCAATTGTCGTAATCTCGTGCCTATTCGCTTTTACATATGGTTAATGCACTCTTTTTTTACAATAATTTTGTCGCCATGTCGCTTTTGAACCAATAATAGCTTTATAGGTTTTGCTATCGTCATCACCGATATAATAAGTGTTGCGTACCGTACAACTTTTCCGATATGAGGAACATCTCACGTACCGTGTCGACTTTCATTTTCTCGAAGACTCCGTGGTTCATGACACAATAATTTGCATGTTCCTGTCTCCACATCTCATGTTCGATATCATCAAGGTCGTTTTCATGCAATTTACAGACATGACAGTACGCAGACTTTATGGCAACATCGATAACTTTTTTTGTATGAAAACTAATCAAACTGGCGACACCAACAAAGAATTGAAGCTTCATTTCATCCAAGTGCCATCTCTTGACACCGTTAGTCCTATATTTGTCCTGTTGCTTCTCTCGTCAAGTTTTTTCCTTTATTAGCACTTTTTTTCATGAAAGTTTCGGCTACCGCTTTCGAAACAGTATATATGCTGTTAACAATTGTGTCATAAAAAGACTGAAAAATTGGTCGTGGCATATCCACAAACGCACAAAATGTTTCAGCACCGTTCAGTCCAACTCAGTAGTCTCATGGCAAATATAAATCTATGATTTATTTCGTAAGCGTTACCGACTAAAGGGCATGAATCTATATATTTCGGATTACAAGATTTACATTTTATAACTAATTTGAAACTGAGTCCGCGACAGCTTGATTTCTCGAAAGTTATGTTGTGATCACAAACTTCACAAAATTTAAAATCGTCAAAAATACAGTAAAAAAGTTTATCAGTTTGTAGCTTATTGTTGAATTCACAGAAACGTCGGGAAAGTCACCGGTCTTTAACTTCTTTGCCGCTGCGCTTGCAACCTTGTCATCTTGTTCTATTTCATAACGATGACCTTTTCTATTATCACATCTTTGTCGTTTAAGAGTCGATCTACTTCCTTTGCGATCCATTATCACGAAATAAATTGTCAAAAAATACTGAAAAACAATCTTGAGATACCGCTCGTTACAGATATGCCGACTGCCATGCGACAAGACGAAAACTAAATAACATCTTAAGTGTAGGCGACCGTTAGACAAAAACAACAAAACATGTTTATCTCAATAATATTAAGACAATGTTTCATATAAACATATAAACATGTACAAGTTCACGTCGATAATACGCCGAGGACAAATTAACAAAAGCCGATCGAAAGAATAATAAATACCGCCGATGAGCGCGAGCGAGAGAAATTTTGCGACCGAATCTCCATTAGATCAATTGAACCGTGATCTTGTGTACATTTTAGAAAATAGACATATTGAAAGATAAATCATTTTCCTTGGCCGTTATTCCTGACATATGCGAAGTCTTTTCGAAGAATCTTTGCGTAGAGACATACTACATTAGTGTTGCTAATGGAAATAGAACCCAGTTCGCAATATAACTTAAGTTTATGAATACTGTCTCTTCATAGAAATCGGCTTATATGTGCCGACAATGGACCCAAGCGCTTCGAGCAACCGTGCGCGCATTTAGTCCCGTGCGCGCGAACAGAAAAAGCGCTATAACTTCGTTATTTGTATGAATTTCATCATAATGTTTTAGCACAATTATTTATAATAATTATTAGATTACTAATTTTTTCAACAATTACTCAATAATAATTTCTCAATAATATAAATAATTTTTAGACGTAATATCAAATTAATTGTTTTATTTTATAATTTAATTAGTAAATTTGTTTTTAAAAAATGAATATTCTGAAACCAAAATTTTGGTTATTACAAATTATTTTTATAGATATAAAAATTTTATAGATATAAAAATTTTATAGGTATAATTTATAGATATAAAAATTTTATAGATATAAAAATTTTGGTTATTACAAATTATTTTTATAGATATAAAAATTTTAATACAGCGTATATATGATGTACTATGGCTTTAAGGCAAAATAAGAATATGTATACTTATATTTTATGCGGAAATACGGAACACGGAACTATATATAATAATATATGGGATGTTCCATTAAAAAAAATTCAAGGTGACTTTGACTTCACCTTAACGACGCCAGCCAGGGTCAAACTGATGAGACTATTGAATAGACCTTTTTAAGTCCTAAAACTTTTATTTGAAACATTTTTCTGTAAAACTTATATTTTTTTAGATTTTTCAAGGTTTCTATACTTTTTCCTTATCCTGTATATACAGGGTGTCCCATTTTAAATTACGCATCTGAATATCTCATCAGGGAAGCCACCGATCCGAAAATAACCCTTACAAAAGTTGCTGGGTTCGGAGGGGGATATCGGATGGTGATTTTCAATTTCACCTTGACCTTGACCTTCAAGGTCATTTGAAGGTCAAATCGAATTTTTAAATAGAAACCCCTATTTTTGACCCCGGATTCGGAAAGAGCGCAAAATTTTACGTTTAGATGGGTACTTGAGGCTCTTTTTTGGAATGACCTTCAGAGGTTATTTTAAGGACAAAATATTTGAAATTACGCACCTGAATACATATCTTGTCGGGGAGCCACCAATCCAAATAACCCTTACAAAAGTTATTGGGTTCGAAGGGTATCCCATTACAACAATTTATCATGAAATACACGCTGATAGTACCAAACATCGACAAAAAAAACAATTTTAACTCAACCGCACAGCACAAAGAACCACAGTTTTGTAATGAAAACAGGCTCCGGCACGTTTTTCACAATTACATTAATTTTTTTTTGTGCTAATAACGTTTAGGAAAAAAAATTCAAGATATGAGAACTTGTGTATCAAACTCACAGTAATGAACCCATTTTTACAAAATTTAAACGTCTATATAAATTATATATATATATATATATATATATATATATATATATATATATATA